TGAAACTGCACAGTTACAAACATTTAACAGAATAACAGAAACATTTACTTTCTTGTCAGAAAAACTTTCATAACAAAGGTAATATGGAATTTGCTAATCAAACGGAGTTGCCCTGCAACTACATGTCTTTTAAGAACCCGTAATACAGTGACACTCAACATCCTAAAAATAACAAAAAAGAGACAGGTTAAGGTACATACAAATGAAATCTCAATTCTTTGACCATAAACTGAACTGGTTATACTATGCATATTCATGCTCAGTCCTTGCAGATGTGGTCCAATATGTTGCATTATTCATGTAACTTTGTAGTTGTTGGGACCATCGCAGATATTTAATCATGAGTCAGGCAGGTTTACTTGCATGGTTTAGTACTGGTTTTATGTTATGAGTTTTCCACGTGAGTAACTTTTCTGAGATCCTCACACAAATGGAAAACAGGATGTCATATTGCCAATTGTTTTTACATGAACTATTTACACAATGTTGGAAAATCTGTAGGTAGCTTACAAATAGTTTAACTGCAAGTCTGAAACTTAAAAAAATTCTGTAGCAAAGCTGTAAAAGAATCAAATGATAATATTCCAAATGAGCATTCAAAAGAGGCATAATCCACATAATGTCAAATCAAGGTGTCAATCTAGTGCAGCTTCCGGGAATTTGTTAGAGAACGTTTCTGAAAGCCATGGAAATCTGCAATCATATTCCAGTTTTGTTGTTGCTGGAAACCTGAATGAAAGTGAAATATCACAGATTCAACTTCCTCTGAAATGCAACAGCATGTTCACAATGAAAACACAAACCCACTATGCTTTTTTTGAATGCTGCTGTGTCAAAACAGAAAAGTCCTGCAAGAAAAACCTGTAGTGGGTAACTGATGCTTGAAGTTGAACAGCAGCATTCAAGATGGAACATAGCTTCTGTCAGAAGAAAAAAAAGTAGCAAAAGGAACGAGACTTTAGAATACTGAGTAAGCGTGCAGATGCTCAATCACAAAATATGCGTAAGAGACAATGGATGACAGGATCCTTGCTATTATTAGCAATACCACAGCGGCTGCAGAAGCTCACTATCACCAACACTGTTACTGTTTGAATACTAGAAGTGAAGAGGACAAAAACACCAGTAAAAAATGATTAATCTCAGAGATTTTGATTATGCAGAAAAAGGAAGTGCTGCAAATCAAGGACAGCTTGTATTCATCAAAAATAATCTCTTATAACTTGGAGGTTATAACAGTGACTGATCTCAGAATAAGATTAGCTCTATCTATTAGGTTGCTTGGAAGCTAGTAAATGAGAGATTCAACCAAGACACAGCCACTGTAAGCAGGAGGTTGAGTTTGGAGGAATACTAGACGTTCATCATGACAAAAGGAAAGCTCATCATATATCCAGACAACCTGTTGATGGATAAACTTGCCATAGATAATCTAGAACTGAAGATGAAATCAGAAGCAGTGAAATCAAAAGCAGCAGATGTCTCAGCAGCTTGAGCAGAGCATCCTTGAAGATGAGAGATGATACCAAAAGAACAAGGTGTGAATGAACTGTGGCTGCTCCACCCTCAGAATCAAGGCTCAATAAATATATCTGCTTCTATCACATGCTTTCCTCCTACAGTATTTAGGAGCAAAAAGAACCTTAGCTACCAGAGCAAAGCAGCTAATAAACTCCTTTGGCCAAGATTCATTTTACGCAGTTACATATGACAGAAGTCATTCAAAGCTATTTTGCCACTATATACTGTAAAGTCATTGGCAGACAAAAATGCAACTTACTTGAATAGTAAATAGATTGGGACTTGTATGTTTTAGTGAACACCCAAAGAGAATGACAAAGCCCTTTAGTTTCAGAAGCTAGGATCAAGTTCAGAAAAAAATGGGCTTTGATGTCAACACAGACACATCATAATTTACACTTGCTTGGGATGATATCAATAGACTTGAGCAGCAAAGAAACACTGCAAATGAGCAGCAAAGAAACACTGCATTGCATAAGTGAAACTCCTGATAGGCCTCTTTTCGAAGGAGTATAGCCCCCAAAAAGCTGCAAGTCAATGCTGCAAAGCAGAGAACATTATCACAGAAGGGCCTTTGCCAGACTACAATATTGGGAGAAAAGACCAGACCTGCTGCCTAAAAGATGCAAGAAGAGAATACCACAGCTTCAATGCATGAAGAAAAAGGAAAAGGTCTGGTCAGATGCTTGTTCACTTACATACCAAAATACTCCCAAGCTGGACTGGGTTCAATTTTCTGGTCCACAATGATGTATCAGTGAGCCAAGGCAGTATAGGATACCTGCTCACTTTCAACTCCCCTGCAACAAAAATGTCTGCTGTCAGTTCATTTAAAAATACGTTAATTGTTGCGCAAAGCAGAGAGTCGAGCATTAGAAGAGTACTGGCATAGTTATTAAGCCTTATTCCGTCAGCACAAGGTGGATCACTAAGCAAACAAGGCAACTTTATGTAGAGCAACAATTTAAAAAGCAATGCCTGCTGGAACATCTCTAGCTAGGTTATCTGTATTACTAATGGCAGGATTCTGGTCTGAAGACAGTCTCATCAACACTACACAGAGCTCACAGAACATGTCTGGTCATTAGCAATAATGATGAGTTTTATAACACATACAGTCTGATATATAATAAAAGATACCAAAAGATACCATCGGAGAGATGCAAGAGAAGATCCAAAAGCATTCAAGATTGTAACTATTTGTCATTGTTTCTGACGATGAAGTGATTCTGAAGAGCCCCATAAACAAGTCATACCTCATTGAATTATAGGTCAAAGAATGGGAAGAAATATTCACAGATCATTGAGAAACTACACAGAGAAAGTTATGAATATTGTCTGCAAGTTCCTCTTCTTCCAAAGCAAACCACAGAGTACCATGAAGAACCATCCCGCAAAAAGATGAACATTTTTGTGTGTACTCTGTACTGCAAACGAATTTAAAAAAAATCTGCTACACAGGTGTGTATACTCATGCTCTTAGGTTTAGCAATGGTATATTCTTGTCCAAAGTATCAGAGAATCAGTATTCGGAACAGGACAAGATTTACTGAAATTGATGAAGTCTATGAGCATGAACAGTTTCAAAAAGCACCATCACAGATTCTATCACCTCATGTAGTACCAGTAACTAATCTTATGCCAAATCAGAGCTCTCAAAAATAATGGCTATCTGCATCTGTCCTAATCTAACAGCTTGCAGAAACAAACCTGCACATACTCTTTTCAGTGCTCACCCATCTGTTTTTAAGTAATACATACTTTGAATATCCAACATTCCTAAGTATTTTCTTAAGACATCTCTGTAATATATTCAAGACAACAAGATTCTTGTGCAGTACTGACAACAGTCTGCCACAACTGTACCTCTTTCCCCACCGTTCAATACATCTATAACCTTTCCTTACATATAGTTCAGCAAGTATTAATTCCCAACACCTAATGCCAGCTCCAGCTAGAAAAGTTAAGGTTTCCACAGGTATCACAGCCCAACACTTTATTTTTCTATTGTGTGAGTTTCACTGAAATCTAAACTGCTAAAGGACACAAGCCACCCTGGATTAATGAAGGGAATATAGCTCAATCTCCTATACAACTCTTTCTAGTGTTTTGTCCAATTTCAATATTTTGTACTACAAAATCAGAAATTTCACTTTTTAAATTCCTTTTTGGAATGCTTTCCCAAATTAACTTCCTTCCCCTATTTGTTCCTGCTAGAATACCTTCAATTCTTTTTAATAATGTCTATTAGCCATCCCATCAGATCACCACTTTTATTCAACTGTATCACATGCTAAACAGTTACTAGTAGAGGTTTGAAGTTTATAGCATATATTTTGCTCTACTATTACTCATAGCCAAAGAAAAGTATTTCTATGTTTGGGTCAGATGATGGATTATTCTAGTACTCCCTCTTACTGGCCACTTTACGGAAACTAAGAAAGAAAATACTTAACAGTTATGAAATAACCTATTGGGGATACTTCCAAAACTCAGTGAAGGCTGATTTACGCTTAGAGGCCCAAGAACTTCTTGCTCTGTTGGAAGTTCTCTCATCACGCATGAGTCCCTTTTAGAATCCTGCTATAGACTAGATGGACTCAATGACACCTGGTTGTTAAATCAAGGTTAAACTACTTTCTTCCATCTTTTTAACTATCTTTCTTTGCAGTCTAATTGACATTTCTGTTCCTGCGTTCTGAAATGAGTAAGAACTCAAATGTTTGAGTCAACTGACACACCTCTGAACCTTCAATTAAGGCATAAGCGGGCTCACAAGCTACACTGTAAAGCCTCAGGTACTGTTCCAGGATAACCAGGGATGGCTTGGTACACTGATTCTTGTAAGGTTAAAAAAAAAAAAAAAACCCAACCCAAGCAAACCCTGCAACACAGTCTCCACGATACTGCTGCTTCTTTTTCAAAAACTTTTAAAAAAATTGAAAGCCAAAATTCTCAGATTAATTTTTCTTTGAAAGTCAGAATTAAACAGTTAATACAAAACAGTATACCTTTGTCTCATAAATAACATACTTCTGAAAATATTTTCTAAATATTTATAAAAGACTAAGACTGAATTTGTCCTACTTCAATAAAGGTCACTTTGTATTCATATTAATAATTATGTAAAGAACATAGAACACTCATTTAATGAAATGTATTAAAAAAGTAAGTTGAAGCAACAATCTGATTATGTCTAGATTTAGAAGTCAGAACTGAGAAGTTTAATACTGCAAGAATTATCTACATCTCTTTGGCCAAACTGAACAAAAACCTGGTTTTGATTTTGGCTGCAGTAGGTAATCATTCTTGTAATTGCGGACATGGTAAGAACAAAAAGCATTAGTAAAGGTTTACGTTCATCCATACATTTCAAATTCTATGAAACTCAAAAGAAACCCAAGTTCAAAGTGCAAATTTTGGCCATCTGTCGCTAAATTAACAGAAATAAACATTCAGCAGTAAAACAAAAAACTTACTCAGGTACTTGTTCAGCAGTTGGGATATCTACAGAAACTGAAAATAAAAATAAAAAATTTAGTTAAAAATATTATTTTAAAATATGGAAATGCAGAAGTACTCACTTTCAAATCCAAGTACATAGAAATAATGATAATGCAACTGGAAAAAAAAGACTGCAATAACACAGAGACATCCACATGTAACTATTTATGTGTACTACATAGAGACACTAGATGTACTCACCTTTCTCTATAATAACTTGACAAGTATGAGTGTGGCTTTCACTCAGATGTGTGGCCATGCTATCTAAGCCAGAAACGTCAGTCAGGAAATCACAGTTAAGACACACTACAGTCACACCTCTAGAGCAAAGAAAGTAAGAAGGAAATATAAATACAACATGGTTGTGAAAATAGCCTACAGCAACTGGACAGACTACAAAAAATTAAAGAGAATTTCCTGCAACTTTAGATGAGAACTCACAAAACATATTCTTACTTTTTATACTGCAACTAGCACCTAGAAATCCCCATCAATGACCAGGGCATCTCCATGCTGGATGTAGTATAAAGAACACCACTTCAGACAGAAATTTTATCTGTAAAGCATGAGTTTCTTGGGTTTTGTTTGTATATTTCCCTTGCCCCCTCCCTATTTTGCACATTACGAGTAATTGGAAAATAAAGACATAGAAATATTTTTTAAAACTGCTCAGGGTTATGAAAGAATAAATATTTACAAATAGCAAATATTTATCACTGGACAGAACACTACCAGTGGAAGAGGTAATGTGTTCATGTCCCTGCTCTAAATTGTGGAGGCCTAGATGTTCAAGAGGCTCTAGTCTCATTAAACTAATCAGTTCACTATCAGAAAGTAAAACCATAATGATTTGTAATTGAAAAAAGCTGAATTACCGTAGCTCTTCTGAATGCTTCTTATAGATCCAAAATCTTTTACTTTGACGAGCACTGTGAAAACTACATATAAGAAAACATTACCACTTAGACTGGTTTTCTTGAGTACATTACTCCACATATACCCTACACTGTACATGGTACTGCAATTTGTTTATAACAAGGAATGAAAACAAAAGGCTCAATTACTGACCCGCATTATTCTAAAACACTAAATTACTGAAAGCTTATAGGCTTGTGAATCTCAGCTCTAATTTAAAATACTAGTTCTCTTGTAAATAACAAGTTTGGGAGGAGCAAGGCTTAACTCCACCAGCACAATCCTGCAAGAATATAGTGACATTGCTGTCATCAGCAGTTTAGCTCTTGAAGGACTGTAGCTGTAACTATACAGTGCTCCACAAAAGTAGTTAAGCTTTGCTGAACTCTTGCTTCTTGAAGTGATGGCTTTAAATGAGAAATCACATTTTCAGACAACCTGTAAGTTATTTCATAAGCAGGTCAAGTATGTGCCAACGCTGTACTCCCATACGAAACAAAAAGCAAGCAGCTGAGTACAGGGGCTGCTACTGTAGAAACATCCTTCCCCCCATCTCTTGTTATACTCATCAAAAAAGGTGATGATAGGTGCTGCAAGGGGTCAGAGTAGGGGGGGCATTAGCATATCAAGGAGACAAAGGACAAAAGACTGGCTATTTTACTGCATGGTTGAATTTGACAATACCCAGATCATGGGCAACTGCAGGAACCGTTTACCTTAGACTCCCCTCTCCCCTTCTGGAGTAAACTTTCTCTTGTACCATCAGAATTAAGCACATTAGTTTTTATTACTTTTTTAAGCATGCAATCAATAGGTTATATGCATAAAAGTATGTAAACTTTTTCAGCCTAGGACTTACATGAGCATTGAAATTAATATGAATAGGTCAACATGTAAAACATACACTAAAATTTTTTAAAACTTCAGTCATAAATTCAAGAATTCTGGCATTCAAAAATGCCAAGACATTTTACACATACATGTATTGAAAAGACAACCGCATTCTGTATTTTTCTGCAAGACATTTGGCTTGTTCAGGACACAGGATTAACAAGTAGGTTTTCAAAATTTTGTTTTACTGTCACTGCTATGTGATCTGTGTCTAATTATTGCATAGTATAATTCTATAATGCATTTGTTTTCTTAACAGGCTTTTTTACAGCTGTCATCACTAATACCCTACACACTGCTTCACAATCAGTGAAAAACCTGCAAAATGAGATGTTATTTTTAAGGATGACCAGAAGTAGTATAAGAAAAAGTATCCACTTGAGTAATCTATTTGAGACATCCTTTACATGGTATTCTGAGTACAGATTTCATTAGCAATAGCTGCGGCTGTATAAATTCAGCACTTGTAAAAATCAGATGAGGTTTTCAATCTAAAACCCAGAAAACATGCAACAATTAGTCATTATTTGTTAAGTCTGGCTGAAATGATTATGGAAGATCCCATAGAAACTCTGAAGCAAAGACAGAGCACTCTCTGTACCACTGGATTTTTCAAAACAAGAACATGGGGTTTAGGCCCTCATTACCAAGTAAAAATCCAGCCGTACACATTTCCCTGCCAGTCCTATGACCCAGTTCAAAACTCAGCTAATTTAACACACCTTATATGAATTTAGGAAGTATTTGATAACCCAAGAAAAATTTTGAAGAGTTCTTACCTCATCATGTGATTCACATAAGCTTTGCTACAGCTAGTGTTGTATCTGCATAAGCTGCAGTGGACATAAGCAGGAAAATGGCTTGCAAAATCTTTTATTTCCGAGTAACACTCAATGCATTTGTGAGCTCCCAAACGATACCTAACGGTAACATGGAAAAGTGAATAGTTAATATCAACACTTTAAGATGAGACAACTATTTCAAACTTTTTGCTTTAAGTCAGTAGCAAGCTCACCTACATTAGAGAAAAAATGAAGAATGTAAAAATACATCAGTTAAATACTTAACATGTTAGCACAGATGAAGAAAATTTTCTCTTTAATTATAATGTCATCATAATTATAACCTTAATTAAAAAGTGACAGTTAATGTAAGCATCTGTTATTGGCCACTCCTGGAAACAAGACACTGCAGTAGATGAGAACATCCAACTTCAGCTGCTTCTGTTATGTACTTAAGGAGGATTTCAAAGAAATGCTTCATCTACCATGACGCACAGACAAAGCCTTCGGTTTTCCTGTCACCCCTGACATTCCCCACAAGCTTTGAAATATCGACAAAGCAAGAATGTAATCCTGCTCTGCCCCCCAATATTGCTGGTCATTTTTGGATATCTTGGAGAGCTACACACTGTGAGTGTTAGCATCTTATTGGAAAGGAGACGTCTACCATCTTGGACAAAGGAAACTGCTAACTCATCATAGCCAATAAAATTATATTCTACTCCATAAAACACCAAATTATTTTTTTTTTGGTAGCTCCCCAAACTAAGGTATCTCCTAGGACAGACATGACTTAACCTTTCAAATAAAAGTCTTAAAAAAATTGAAGGGGGAAAATACTTTTCACTCCCTAAGAAAACTTGCAAAGAACACCCAGGCAGACATATTCACCTCCACAGGTCACTTTTAAACATAAATCTGCCTAATGAGTCAGTATTTTAAGAGTCTGTGGCTCTGTGCAGAGAAAAATTCTAAATTTAAAACAAAAGTTTCCAGAACATCTGTTCTTCCATCATAAGGTAGTCTACCATCAAAAAAATGTGGTGAAGATTCAGAATTATAATCACAGTACCAGTGTGTGGAAAGTTTATGCTCCTGCTTTTTCTGAAAAACTGAAGGGTCAAATCTTCTGTAATGCAGTATTAGAAGTTATCAAAAAATGATCAATTATTTATATTCAAAATATACACAAAGATATTTTTAATGCTAATATTTTACCTTAGATTATGTAATGCTGTATTTGTAACTTCTTTTTTTTTTTTGCTGTTGGTCCATGCATTTTGCTTCTTTGATGTAGTTGGTTTTGATTTTGCTTTTGACTTATTTGTATTAGATCTGTTATGATTTTTAGTGGTCGTATTTTTAACTTTTGGTGATAACTGAAACGTGGAGGTGCTTGTACTAACAGAAGATGTAGCTGATGATCCTGATTGAAGAGATCCAACAGATGCTCGAATAGTCACCTACAAGTATGAAATTAAAATTTTTTCTATTTATATTTAAGCTAAGTTCCCATTTCTAATTGTGTCAAAGTTTAAGCCACTTTAGAACAAAAATCATAGCATAAGAAACACACTTCAGTAACGATTGCTTTGAAAAAGATTAAATACTGTTGACTAGAGCTCTTGTTTTGGTGGAAATAGCCATGACAACACTGCTCTCTTTCAGACCTGCAACTGACTACATCATCTCTTAAAAGAAACGTACCTGTCGAAAAGAAACAGAAGGGTCAGACCAATTAGCCCTAGTAAGAACACCAAACAATCCTATCAGTGCCTGGATTTAACAAAAGCCCTGTGTCTTGTTACCTCATGATGAGCCAGTCTACCCCCTTCAGATATTTTTGCTCCTCATCCCAGACCTCCAAGGACTAATTCTGGTTTCTGACCTCTCATCTGGCATTATTGCACCCCCTTGTCTTGCCCTTACATTTGGTTCTCCAGTTTTCACTTGCAGCATGACTCCTAGTTATATTTCTTGCCCATACCCATAGTTTAGAAGCATCTCATCTTCTAAACCTGGTTCCAAGCTCTTCAGTGTCATCATCTACATCCTGTCACGGTCTACTAACACCAAAATTTCAACATAATTTAAGCTTTTATTAGATCATGAAGACCCTGAAATCTTTAGAAAATTGAGGTATTGTCACAGACTAGAGAATCAGCGCTTGACATTCTGCCAAGCACCACAATCAACATCAGTCATTCACCCTTCCTGATTCTACAGCAAATTAACTGCTAAGACCTATCAAAATGTTAATTTTCTTCTTCCTTTCAACTGAAAGGACATATATCTTCACATTTCATTAAAAAAAACTGTAGGAAAAAGTCCTGAAATCTACAGGAAAATCCTAGTCTAAGTGGCTTCTTCTTGAGAAATGGAAGAATGATTTAAAGATAGCCTAAGTGTTCTGAGGGGACCCAGGTTTCTTCATAAAACACTTAGCAGAAAATTGCAGGTTCCCCCCCTCCAAATGCTGAAGCTAAGAAAGCCCCGGTGAACTCAGTGTTAGGTACATATTGTCTATGGAAAAGAAGGTCTTGCACTCCACATGACTTCTCACCACCTTCCACAAGTTGAAAATTTTTCACAAGAAATTATGGAGACCCCTCAGACCAACATCCAGACTATTTCTTTTTCTCCTAGCACAAGAAAGGACAAAAGGGAGGGGGTAAATTAAGCAACAGCTCAAGAAAGCAAAGCACTGACTGGACTACTGTCATATACACGTATTGGACAGAGTGCAACACCACAGATCACCAAACCATAAACTGTGCCTGCCAATTGTTTTAGAGTTTTAGAGGTGGCAAAAAAAAAAATCATCTTTGCTTTGGAAAAGAGAAAGGCGCTTCTTTCTATTCCACATCTTTCTCTACCAATACATTTTTTTCCTTTGCTCCCTCTAATTTTCCTGTATGAACACTTACCTTTGTTCCAGGAGGCAATCCTTCTAACTGTTTGGGTTTCCTAAACGTTCGGTGATGCTGAGTCTTGTGATCCATTTTTTCTTTGCATGTCAAAAATTGCAGTCTGCACTTAGTGCAACGGTATATTCCTTTTTTCTTTTAGAAAAATGGAAGACAATCTACAGTAAGCATGAATGCCATGACAAACAATCTCCAACCCTAGCTTGTCTCAAGCAATGGTTATCCGGTTCCTAAAACATCAACTGGACAAACTCCTAATATTGTACAAAGCCAAGATACTGCATAGGAATTGAAGACAGAATATTTAAATACTTGAAAATGCAAGGCAGTATCATTACTAAGAGGAGAAATCAGGTTACCAGTTACAAGACAACAGTACTTCATAATCTTTTTCTCTACCTGAACTAGTGAAAGTTTTGCCAGCAACCTCAAGAAAAGCAGAACACATCACTACAACTTAATGAAGAAACCAAATAGCAGAGATATTCTTTCAAGGATATTCAGAGATTTTTTTTTAAACAGGGAGCTGCTGTCACACAAAAACATGACAAAGTCTAACAAATTCCCTTAAAGACTTTTCAAAAGAAGCAGTCGTAATTATTCTACCGTATTTTATTAACTATTCTTATCCAGTAACTACCATACAAATCAGTTACGCTTCCCCCGCCCCCGAGATTCATGACATATATTTAGCATTTTTCTGGCTTTAAGGATTGAAAATATCTGCTTACCTGATGCCTCATATAATGATGCATATATGGTGCTCCAATTTTAATCACTTTGAGGCAAAATGGGCATAGCAAATGTTTTGTATTTTCATGAACTGTTCTAAAATGTGTTTCTACATCTGAAAAAGCTGAGGATCTGTAGTTGCATACCTAAAACAAGAAGTTTCACTTTCTTGTTAAAAGTTTATTGAAAGTAAAGACTGTCAAAGGGAGGTTGTGTAATCTAAATATGTAACAGTCACTCTGAAATACCTGGCAAACATACGGCATTTCACCTGGCTTATGATTGTCCTTCATATGTTGCAAGAGAACTTGCTCTGTTTCAAAGGATAATTCACAGATTTTACAAATTGCTAGAAAAAGGGAAAAATAAGAAAATAGTAAAAATCTGTTTGGGGTCATAAGTAGATAAATTATAATATGTATGTATATGCGAACTGTATAAATCTATTAAAGCAATCTAACAATCATTCTACTCTTCAGAAGAAATTCCCTGTACAATTTCAGGAGGCCAGGTGTGTAGGGCTCTTAAATGACATGAGTTCTTGCAGTCAAGCTTTCAATTAAAACAAAACTTTTCAATTAAAATAAAACAGGCTTTTTCAATGAAAAAAAAAGCTTTTAAAAATATTTTTCCACACATATTGCTCTAACAGAAATTGAATGAGTGCTCAGCTCCTATATTAAACCTCAAGATTATTGCTCTTAAAGTACAATAGCTTTATTCTGAAGTTACAAACCAGCAAAGTAAAAGTCAGAAAACATCTAAAAATTTTAGGTCACAAAAAGGTTCAATATGACACAATCCAACTTACTAGACGACTCGTAAGGCGTGTGTGTACTTTCAATGTGGCACTGCAGTTGGAACGGGGTGGGAAACTGACGGTAACAATGCTGGCAGGTGGTGTGGCTTTCCCAACTTTCACTGCTCTGCTTCTCAAGCTCCAAGTGGTGTTTCATGTGGTTCATAAACCTTTAAACAATAGTGAATAGGTGCAAAAACCTACATTGTAACAGTCACAATACTTGACATATCACATGCGAGATGTACAGGATTCTTTACATGTACTCTGAAAGGACTTCTCAATTTCAAAAAAAATAATCTAAGGAATAAGCATTTGTTTAACAAAAAAAAAGGGGGGGTGGGGCAAACTGAAGCAAGCTGACTATGCCAGAAATCATCTTTCAACGTTTGAAGAGAAATCTTGACTATTACAAGGAACATGCAACATATCTGAAACATGTGCTAAGACCAAGCAATCTACTGCATTTTTGTGTTTGTTTAGATAAAATTCTTGCCTTGAAATAAAAGGAAACTTGCAAAGGCAACAACAACAAAACATGTCAGCTGTTCACACTTCACCACCACCAGAGTCTCAAAGCCACATTCTGAAGGAAGTATAACTTTGGCTCTGCTGAAAACTATTAAGTAGCAAGAACAGATCTGCAATGAGGACACTATAGCTTTATCTGAAACCGCCTCCATTCAAAACTGGCAGGGTTCCAGGAGCTTTCTTTGTATAAAGCATTCAGGACTGAAGTTGAATTATGAAGGACAGTTAGCAAAGAATGCCACTGTGCAGCTGACAATCAGAAGAGCATGAGAAACTTGGCTGCATGTTACTACTTCACGTTACCACCTTTTACTCATTAATATGTCCATCTATCTGTAGCATGCGCCTATTCTGGCTGAGAAGTCTAGGCACCCATGACAACACTAGCAGGTCACAACCCACTAATGTTAAACCTCAAAAACTGCTCCATTTTGAGTGTGCTTCATTTCAGTACAGCCAGAGGAACTATTAAATGTAGGTCACACTTACAAAAGGAATGTAGTTCTCAAAGTGGTGACCTTGGAATTGGAAAAAAGCAAATAAGCAAGTAGAATAGTATCTTGAGCTCAAGCTTCTAATATCATGCAGTTGCTTAAAAAAGAAAAACCACAACAAAACAGAAACACCCCACAAAACTGAAGGTATGTGGGTACTTCAGCAGAAGAAAGGAACTGACACTAGAACTGCATATTACCTTAATAGAATGTTATTTCAACGGTGTGTTCAACAGTAGTTTTTTTTTTTTTTTAAAGGAAGCAGGGATTACTGTGATGAATTCTAAATTAAGGTGCAGAAAACTTCCATTCGAAGTATAGAAGTACTATGTATTTATTTTGTCCACTATAAATGGTTAGGGGTATAAAACAAACCTTGGAATAAAAATTCTGAAGTTATAAAACTATGGAATACAGCTACAAAGTTACAGCAAAAATTAATACGGCTGAAAGTAGACTCTAAAGAAGTTCAAAGAAAAAAATTAAGTGCTCATTTTTAATGACTTGCTGTGGAACATATAGGCACCATAGCACCAACAGCTTACACATATAATGCTGAGTAGAAGATAGTGCCCAAAAAGTATTGAAGATACTGGGTTCATTTTAAAAAATTATTCTTTCTATGGACTACTTTTCATGCTACTGCAAAGAGAGGCTTATTTGAAAAGTATTATGCACAGAAAAACCTGTCAGCCCATATCAAACATTGTTTATTGCTCTTAAAAAGAGAAATTGCAAGGGAAGAAATGCCATAATTTAAAGTAACTATAAAATCAATAGGAGTAAACTCTTAAAAGTCTAACAACATACAACACTTTCAAGTTGCTTAAGGCAAATTACTGACGCTTTTACATAGAATTTATACATACTTAATGATTAATAGCAAATTTAATATTTGTAATTACAAGAAACTTTAGGTTTGTTCAATAATATGGGTCTAGTGTTAGCATAACCTGTTCATTTTAACTTGCAGACTGTGCTCTTTGAAGAAACAGTCCATTTTTCAGTTTTATATTCTGCTACTTCAGCTTGGCTTGAAGAATGCATGTAAAAAAAGTTCAATGACCTTAACTTCCAAAGGAACAATGACACAAACTCATCTACTTGTTAAAACAGCTTACTGAAGTTCTTTTGCAGCATTTGGAAGTAAAATTATTCCATCAAAATAACAGATGTTACATAAGTAAAGCACCAACTATTAGTCACTGTGCATCCCTACAGGGAATTCACACTCGCATCTACTGGTATCACCATCAATCCAGATAGCAAATTGTAAAATACTTTCTGTTGCCCTTTCTAACCCCAAAATCCTACAACTGCTCTCATCAAAACTCTCCAGTTTATGTGAGACACCACTAAAATTTGTACTCTAATCTGTAAAAAAATTAAGTTATGGCCATACATGCATAGTAAAAGTTAATTCAATGTCTGTTCAGTCACCCAATATTATCAGTTTTCAATAAGAACAAAAATTCTGTTCCAAAGAGACAAATTTTTAACATGGGCTGTAAGTGATCAACAAACAATTAAGGAAGTGAGTTCAAATACCTTATATTATTTTTAAGAACTTTCAGACAACTGAAGCACTTAAATGTCGTATGAGTCTTCTGCTCCTGTTGTACCTGCTGGGTATCACCTTCATGTTTCCCATAGTAAAAGTCGTTAACTAACATAATCAATTTTCCTTTCTCAGATTCAGCAGTCTTGCTTGTTGTGCTCGAACATTCTGTTTTGGCCACTCCCAGGAAAAAGTTATTTACCATATCTGGACAACAATACTGGATGGAAAGGGGGAGGAGAAGAGACAGAGACAAAGGTATCAGTCTCTCTTACCAAACTGCATCGATGACAAAAGCATTTTAAAAACTGAAGATGCTGACTAGAGTTAGATGCAAAGCTCAATTCTGACACACCAACTTTATTCATATCACATATGGATTTTGAACAGTAACTGATCTTTAAGCAGTGTTTAGGTAATAAAAAACGATGTTATAAACAGTGAAAAGGGATTATTCTCCTAGGTTCGTGTAAGATGAATTTAAGCTAGAAATCAGAATACTAGTGTTGCCTTACTCATTAGAAAAATGTCTACTTCATTTATATTTAATAACGAGAAAGAGAAAAGCAGCTTTTATGCAAGTATTTTGCTGACAAACATATGTTTACTGGCAACTTAATGAAAAGTTTTATCTTTTATTTATTTGGGGAGGACATATGTTGAAACCTGCAAAAGCTCTTTCCAGCATTACTGAAAAATTCAGAAATTCTAAGTCACACAGCACATATTGACATAAAGAAGCTTGAGTAATGTGTACATAATGAATGCTTAACCCAGTAGCTACAACAGGAAACTTAACATTTAAAAAGTATGAAGTACTTCATACAGAAGATGCTATGAAGTTTCCAACAGTGAACAAAATTAGAATGTTTCAGAGGACAAATATTTCTCCTGC